TTTTTTTTTTTTTTTTTTTTTTTTTTTTTTTTTTATTATTATTATTATTTTTAATGTAGAATATACCAATAGCCTTTTTCCATATCTTTAATCTTCTTTAAAATATTGTTTGTTTTTTTTTAAGTCTTCATAATAAAGATCGGTGTTGTTGGTGGCACGATGTTGGTGATGGTTATGGCGGAGGTAGAAGTGGGGTTAGTGGTGTCGGATGTAGAGGTGATGGTGAAGGTGGCAATGGTGGTGGCGGCGGAGAAGGAGATGGTGGTGGTGGTAGTGGTAGAGGCGGATGCAGTGGTGGTGGCAACAACGGTTGCCGCTACAATGGTTGTGGTGGAAAAAAATATCATATTATGGTTTTAACTTAGAAAACATCTTTCAAAATTAGAAACTATTTTTTTCTATGACTGATAAAGTGGTCAATAAGACCTTGTATTGACTTTTGTCATTCTAAAAAGCAAACAATATTTTTCTTAAATGTGTTTCGGTAAAAAGACATTTTGCCAAAAAAAAAAAAAAAAAAAAAAAACCACCTAAAAGTCGTCCCAAACAAACACCCAAAAATGTTTGTAGAACCAAAGGAGATTGAATGACATAACTGGTGGGTTATTTGGCTAATTAGTGTTAATAAAAGTATACAAAATTGCAAGAATGTCTATGGTTTATCATTTTATGAGGCTATGGATTTGATCCTTATTTACTGGTTTTATTGTGGAATTGATCTTTGTCCAAATTAAAAAGACTATTATATCCTTAAGATAATTATTTTTATTATTTTTATTTGTAAATATTAATAAATATGTTATTGCCCATAACCAGGGGCGGTCCTAGCTAGGTGCCCGGTGTGGCACCGACAACACCTGGCTTCCGCGCACGTAGTAGAAAAAATTTCGTTTTTTTAAAATTTTTACCTATTGTGCCACTACGTAAAAAAAATCGTGCAACTACTAAAATTTTTTTGTGCAACTAGCCAACTACATAAAAAAAAATATTGCCACTGTATCGGGAATTACCAAACGAAAAAAATAATAACGAGCCCAAATGCCCAATGTTTTAATCAATTATTGTCTAATAGTCCAATTGCCTAAAGCCCAATATAAAACTTAATTGGATAAATTAGCAATTGGGCTAATTGCTTGTAAAAAAATAGCCCAATCCTAATTAATTGAGTGTTTAATTGAGTATTATCGGTAGAAAAAAAAATATCACGATTACAAAATCGAAAATTCAACTACTCGACTTCCTGATTTGCGTCCAAAAATCCTTCGACCAATCGACCTTCGATCGTGCCTTGGCAGACTCGTGACCTCACAATCGTTCATCCTTGATCGATTTCATTGTTGGATCGATCACAATCCTTGATCGATTTCAACAATTCTCTTGAAGACTTGAAGCAAGTATCGACCCTCTTCTGTCTTTTTTCAATTTCTACTGTTTTGGTTTATTGGTTAACAAATAACAAAATCCACTTCAAAGTTCAAACTT